ATCTAAATTAAAAAAACTATAGCCACATCAAAAGAGTTTTAATAGGACTAATTGCAGTCCTGTGATAAACTAACACAGTTGGATTAAGGTCTGGACTTTGGCTGGATCATTAACTGTCACACAGATGGCCTCACCTGTGACTCTAGAATACTTTGTTACACAAAACACTTCATGATAAACTCAATCACTGCGAGGTGCCCAAATCATCAGCCCCCCACCACTGTGCTGACAGCCGATAGGAGGTATTTTGTGCTGATATGCTGTGTTTGGCTTTCTCCAAACATGCTGTTAGGCATTATCATCAAACTTGTCCACATTGATGTCAGGGGACATTGTTCCACAAGTCCTGTGGTTTGTTCTGATGCAGCTATGCTGACATGTTCTTTTTAGAGAGAAGAAGTTTTCTCTCTGCAGCCTTTTCAAACAATCCACACATGTTCAGTCTTTTTTCTAATCGTGCTGTCATGAACTTTAACCTTTAACATGCTAACTGAGGTCTATAATGTCAAATGTGGAACTTTTGGTGTTTTTACAGCTTTCCTAAGCATTGCAAAGTCTGACCTCAGGGTGAATTTGATGGGACGTCCAGCCCCGTGAAGACTGTAGCAGTGCGTTAACACACACTTGAATACTCCAGAACAGCAAACTGCCAAAACCTCTTCTTTTATAGAAGTGCTCACACCTACTAGCGACACCTGGGTCCAACTGTCCATTTTAATTCCAGTGGAAGCAGCAAGGGTGTGCTCAGTTTACACAGGACCGTAAAGAATCCTTTGTATTGATTTGCAGTACAAAGGCACAACACCCCCTCACTGAAAGGGGTCAAAGGTTGAGGTTTTTCTCTAATTGGTCACCCAGCAGCACAATAAACACATGTAGCTGTGTCTTTATGTTATTTAGGCAAGACCAAGCTTAGAGCACCGGCATAACCTACAGGTTAACATTCCACGTGTGTTACTCCAGGTCTGCTGAATTTTCCTGTAAAACCTGCTGCTTTCACACAGATGCTTTTTGTTTGGAATCAAATTAAAAGCTAGACACAAATATATTACTTAGTGACATTTAAAGATGCTTGTAGGTGGGTCTTGGTTTGTTAGAGGAAAATAGAACACACTAGCTATAGTTCTGTTTCTTATCAAAGCTAATTCTTAAGCCAACATGAGAATTGCATCAGTTTTCTCATCCACAACCTCAGTAAAAAAAAAAAGCTGATAGTTGATTCACAATGTTACATTTAACCACTGCCATCCACACCTCAGAGTGTCATGAACTCACAGCCTACAGTGGGCGATGTACTCCTGAACTCATCCTTGCTAAATCGCAAAGCCAGACTCGACTTTCCAACACCAGAGCTCCCCAGCAGGACCATCTTAACCCTGAGAGTATGTACTGGTCTGCGCAAAGTGTCACTGTATTGCTGGGCCCCTCCGTGGACCCTTGGGAGAGTTTCCCCCATGGAAAAGCTTAGTTAACTCCAAAACAGGAGGTAAAAAAAAGTCCAAAAAGGGTCCTCAAGTCCTGATCCAACTCTCCTTTTCTTTAAAAACACAACAGTAATTTCAAAGAGTCCAGACAAGCTGAGTCGTCTTGCTTGTTGTGAAAGTGTGTGACTGTTCCAGCTTCAGCTTAAAAAGAAAAGTAAAACTTAAGTCCAGAAATGTGAAGCCAGCAACAATAATCTCACTTCCTTAAGCACACCTACTCCTGACTCGTCTTAAAACCTCCCTGCTATCACATGCTGTCTCATTGATTTGAACCCACATGGACAGACTGGCTTGAAAAAATCAATGGCCACATTTCTTGTTGGGAGGGACTTGTACTGCATGCAAATATAAACTTATAGGAATATCTGATATGTCTGAAAAGTTTTGTTTTGCTTCAAAATGCTCGTAAAATTACAGAAACTCAGTGGATCCTCTTTATGCACAAACCCTTCAGATCATTGTATCAGCACATTTTGCTGCTGACCTGTTTTCCGGGTTTTATCTCCTTGTAATTCTCATTTTGAACAGCTGAGGGCAGCATTGTATATATTACAACTTTGCTCTAATAGTAAAGCCTCTTCACTGCGGTAAGACGATGTGTAGTGGACAGTTTGATATTCTTCTTCTTTATTTAGACTTTTTAAAGAAATATCACAACTATGCTCAATTATCTGTCCTTGCCATTTTCCCCAAAAGTTTCTTATTGTCTCAGGAATGTTTTCAATGCTTTCCATCAAAGTTTAGAGGGGTTAAAGGTCAGGAGACCCTGGAGGAAGCTGACAGCCTTTTATCTGTGCTGATTTTGGTCATGGATTATTTACTTGGTAAATTCTGGATGTGTGATGAATTTGATGTTCTCTCAGTGCTGTGTACTGATATTTTCTGATGGTCACTTCTGGTCTGTCTGACTCGACTTTGAATACAACTGATTCAGTTTCCAGAAAGTGTTTTGGAGCTCTGTGCACCGGACTCCTAAAAATCCAGAGTCCAACTCTGATTTGACTCAGAGAAAGTCCCTCTTTGTTCAGAATAACAGCTTGACCCCTGATACTTCCCTTCATCCTCATATCTTTCTTGTTTTTGGTCACAGTGTTACTTAGTCAGCAAAGTTCTGTTAGTTTGAAGCCAAGCCACATTTATATCACACGAACAATGGCTGCTGGCTGATTTATTTTTTAAAAGCTTCTGATGAGTCAATCTAATGGACGGATGCAACATAAGGAAACCTGACATGTGTAGAAAGGAAACTTTTAAATCTATTCCTTTTCAACATGAAAACATTTAAGATTTTTGGACATGGTGACACTTCTGGATGGATTTCTGCATCTTAAGAGATACCAGTAAATCATATCTACAAGAAACAGTGTGTACAGAAAGAACTGTCTTAAACAAAGTGTGTGAACACACCTGAATCACACATTCCTCGACTGTATGAATAGACTCAGAGGGCGACTGCATATTTCAGGAGAAAGTGTGTCCACATTACAACAGTTGCAAATAATAGTACAGTGACACCAGGGGATAAAAACAGCATTTCATGAGATCACTATACACTCTCACACTCAGCTGGGAGCACATTGTATTTTAGGGGTGGTGGCAGGCCTTGTCTGTCTCTTTAAGAAGCAAGAGGCTTTTTAGAGCTGGCTGGTCATTATTAAAAATAGCAGAGGGGCTGTGAGAGAGTGAGATAGTGCATGCAGGAGCTGTGGTTTCTGGCAGAAGTTGGATGGAGTCCAGTCCATAGATTGGTGCTGCATTCATACGCTGTGTGGAAAATTCTCAACACCATTCTGCTAGTCCTTAAAGAGCTATAACATCATGCACTGCTTCATTGGTGCTAGTATCCAAACTGTAACTAGATCTTAGAAAGGTAAAAAGTATTGTCCTACAGAAGTTTGACCTCTCTAAACACTTTACTGCTTTTGATCTCAGCCACTCATTTCAGATCATGTTGAAAAAGAAAGAAGTCTATTTTGACACGTGTGTGTTTCAGAATGGAGGACTATCTGTGGTACCCTCTTGCCAGTGAGCAAGTGGTTTCACAGTCAGACCCACCCTGCCTCATCACATCCATTTAAAAAAAAAAACAACAACATGGTGACTGAACTGCAGAAACCAATGCATGACATTATGGTAGCTACATCCATGAGTCGCTATGACTGTGAAGCTACATGCTCATTGGCTAATGATTCATGACTGAATTGTTAGTCAGTGAGAATATCCTGACCGACCACTCCTGAGAAAGTTCATCACCGTTCCAAGTTTTCTGCATTTGTGTATAATGTTTCTCACTTTGGTTCAGTGGATTCGCAAAGCTCACAAACAGCTTTGTAATCCTTTCCAGACTGATAGATGTCAGTGAATTTGACAAAGTGAAACAGGCTAGATCTTGAAAAGCAACACATCATGCCACAGTCTAGAGAAGAACCTGAGAAACAGACAGGATTAAAGTGATTTCTTGATTCAGCAGGTCTGCCATTAATCAGGCCTGAGTGTGTTTTGTGAAACTGAACTCGGCTTTCCAAAAAAATGTGGTTAATCACAGTTAACATATGTAATGCATACATATATTATAGCTTCTTGTAGCTTTTGTCTTAGATAGTTCTCCACTATATTACTCACTTTTGGTATTCTTTAACTAACTTTTTGTATTTCTTTTTTTTATCATTATTATATGTGACATTACAATGCTCTTGTGCCACTTTTATTTCAACTGTATGTATTTATTGTAGCGTATACTATTTTTATTCTTTATCCTGCTGCTGCAACACAATATCTGTCTATCTGGACTTCATTTGCATGGACCCCATTCTTTTTTAATCTATTATATCCATTATATTAGAAGTTCTCTGCATCTTCAAAAGTGTCCAAACTCAGTGTCATGGTGGCTTCCATCGTCGCTCCTTATATACTGTCTATGTGAACTGCGCAGTGGCCACGTTTCCGACAACATGTGAAAGCAGCTTGCCGGAGCACAACCTTTGAAGTTTTTCAGGGAGACTTTGCTGCAGTGAATCCGACAGGTGGTGGAGACACAACGCTGCTGTACGAGAACGAGACTGCAATCATATTTTCACACTGTGTTTTTTCTACAGTTGGTGCTTATTTCCTCAAAAACAATCTTCTACTTCTTTTATGTTTACAGTGACAGGGTCAGAAACACCCTAACAGCACAGGAGCGACGCTCAGGTGATCATTTGTGACCTGAATGCGCCGCTGCACGTGGAGACAGCGCGCAGCTTTGTGAAGCAGACTCGTCGCGAGCTCGTGAGTCGCTGCAGAAACACAGGAAGAAGTGTGAAGACGGATGTATGACAATGAGGCACGCTGAGAACCGGAGCAGGCAGCCCGGGTTTGTGTCACTGACTCCGCGTTTTTAACTTGAAATCTGTAGAAACACATGAAACGCACGAGCCGCGGGTCTGTGTGGATTACCGAAGTCTGAATTAATCAGCACCAAGTGGATTTAAGCGTTTAGGGGGACGACATGGGGACCCAGGGGACAGGACGGAAAAGGTCCACTAAAAAGGACAAAACGACGGCAGAGGACGATGCCCTGAACCTCATAGCCAGAGAGGTGAGTGAAGGGGAGACAATAAATCTTTACTGAGGGGGGTTGGAAGCAATAATGTAACTTTTAAAGAGCCCCCAAACTATTTAATCACACTTAATCACACTTAAAGGCGCGTTCGCGTTTTTGTTCCTTATGAAAAAAACATTTGTGTGTTTAATGTCTGACTTAGTGTTTCCACATGTGTAATATTGGTCATTGTTAAAAATACGCAGACATTGTCCCCAGTTTTTTTAACATCACTTTCACCTGATACCGCTGCAGCAGGGGCGTTTCCAGTGGGACACGGGGCCCCTCATGAAATCGGTATTTCATCAGCAGTGTAGATATTTGCTGGCTGCAATTTTCACATTTCTGTGCAGAGGGTATTAGGTGACTGTACAGAAGTTTAAACGTGGTTTTTATTGAATAACGTTTTTCCAAAGTCACAAAAGAACTATTTAGAACAGGGTTGGTCAAACTGCCACAGCTAAGGGCAGTCTGGGCCCCTGTAAGGAAAGGAACACGTTTTGTGAACAGCTTGATTTTTAACATGATGCACATAGTGGAGTTTAGCAAAACTCAGGACTAATTTCATCACATCACAAATTTTTTTTACACACATGTGGAGTGACATATGCTGAAATTGAGTAAAGATAGAAGCAGTTTATTATGAATCAATAAGACAATGCCTCTTTCCTTATTTATTTATTTTTTGGCTGGAGGCTGGGGGTTTAGCTTCCCTTTCAGGACATAAGGGGTCAGGCTGAGATGACTGACAGCTGGTTCTGGCCCCCTGAGCAATATTTTCCCACATTGTAATTCAGACACAGTAAGTTCAGGTATTTTTGTGAAAAAAAACATCTGCATAAATAGTTTAATATATTCTAAAGTGAAACAGAATGGCGACAGCTATGATATATTGTGTTGCAGAGATATCAGCTGAAGTTGAAAAGGGCTAGGAGGTTGCGTAATAACCACATGGTGGTGCAGTGAGTCAGAATAGCATCTGATTCATTATTCCAACATTATTCCAACTGGTGTTAGTGCAACGTTTTTATAGAATTTATGTTCCTGCCATACTTGGCTAATGATCAGTTTTTTATAAACATGAACACTAGGGCTGCCACGATTAGTCGGCTAGTCACGATTACGTTGACTATCAAAATCGTTGACGACTGATTTAATAGTCGACGTGTCGTTTGAAGCTTTGTAAGATCCCAAAAGACGCAGGAATAAGTAGTAGGATTTAAGAGTGTAATAACGGACTGAAACAAAAGATGGCAGCACTGCATGTACAAGGATGCCAGCTGCCGTTAAACCCCGAAGAAGAAGAAGCTGTGTCCGGTATCATAGCTGTGTTCAAATTCAGGAACCGCATCCTCCTGTGGCCGCATTTGTAGGCCGATTACGTTACAGCGACACGAGGAAAACTGTCCAAATTCGAAGACTCCGACAAATGTGCGCTTCATTTCCCCAGATTTGAAGGATGGGTCGGGTGTATACTTCGTGGCCCAACCTATCCCAGAATTCATAGTGTGGCCCAGCTGCCAATGGCGGCAGCTGGTTAGTTTTAATATTACTCTTTCTGGGTCACAAAATAAACGTTTAAAATATTTTCAGGTGAGAATGTAGCTGTGTAAACCTCAAATATCTGCTCAGTTTATCAAGACGCCACATATTTTCAAAAGCGCTGCGATGTTTTCGGGACGTCTGTTACCCACTAGCTCGATAGCTAGCCGGTGTTCAAGGCTCACTAGAGCGTGTGAGAACACCGGACTCCCGGCAAATCGTTTTCAAACCCACCGCCGGCTTTCGCTACTCAGGTTAAACTGTAAGCTAATGATAGTTATATAAGAGCAGATGCATGCTGGTGCAATAAGCTGTACGTTTTACGTCCAATAGATGCATGATCTGATTAGTCGACTAATCGCAAAAATAATCGGTGACTAGTCGACTATCAAAATAATCGTTTGTGGCAGCCCTAATGAACACAAAAGCATTACGTCATCTTTCTGATAGTACATATATAGTATAAAATAATTTCAGATGGACAAAAAAAGACTGCAGTTCTGGTTAAGGAGGACAGCTCTACCAAATCTTTATGGTAAAATGCTTCCACCACACTGTACAATACATCTGTCAATATTGTCTAGCCTCCCGGTATGTCAGTCAGGCTCAAAATATTATAAATTCTATCAACATAACCATAATCGTAATCCACAGCTGATTATAATGGCTTGCTCTACTTACATGAGAAATTATTTCATGTGCTGACCTGCAGGAATTGTTGAGATCTCTTTCAGTACTACAGAACTGTAGTTGGCAGTCGCACGTTGTTGTTTCTTAGCAGGTGCCGAAGTCATGTTATGACAGGTTTACGCTGCTTCAAAGTTCCTAATCCTTTTTGTTATTATGAGACTGCGAGTAAAGGATAAATCTAATGTTTTATAGGAGAAGTAATGCCCAGTGGGTCTTCAGGACTTAAGCCAACCTGTTTGAAGTGAACACTTTGCTCCTCTGAGGTGTAAACCTTAAGCTAAGTATCGATATAAAAGTTTAGCTTCAAGATGAACTACAAGAAACGGTAAAACCAGACATTTATTGTTACTAAGCAACACTGTGGCCCCTTTGAGGATGTAATTCTCCTTATTTATGAAAAAACTGAGGATCAGACATTCGGTTTATTACTTTCCCTGCTGAAAATAACTTTTCATATTCTGTGCGGCTCCCGGTGAGCATAGAAAACCTCAACTCTCTGTTGTCTGAGCATGATTCAGAGCCACTTGTCTTCAGTTAGGAGGAAGTTGGGTTTTTGCTAACACAACCCGGATGTTTCAGTGAATTTGCATATCATTTCTAACAGTCACACTCTCTCGTCTATTCTTCTTCAAAACCGTGAATGGCCATGGTTGGGCAGTTGGAGTGTTTGAATGTTATCTTCTCTTTACTGCTTATTTGACTGTTTACGCTGCTGTGGGGAGGCTGAGGTTGCACATTCCTGTAGCTGGTAGTGGTTTCTTCTTGCTGCAGCAGTGTTACCCGGTTGAGGTTAGAGGAGCTTGACGGAGCTCATGAAGCATCAGCAGCAGATACGGTATCTCCGAGGAGGAGATTGTCCGTGATGGATGAATCGCATGTGTTTGTCGGGGTTGGGAGGAACGGCGGCGGGTTGTTTTCTGTGTCTTTAAGCAGCAGCTGGGTCGAGTCCCTCACTGGCTGTCCTCTGACAGAATGGTATGTCAGTGCTGATGAGTTGGCCCACTCTGCAAAGAAGCTTTAAAAATAGATGCTCCTGGAAGATCAGCTGTTGCTGCACCCCAGTTTTAGAGCGAGTCTGTGGGTGGGGGTGGGGAGTGGGGGGGTGAGGGTGGTTGTTGCTCGCCAGCTGGCCGTCACACAAGCCTGAAAGGAAGAAAGACTCTGCACAAGATAGTGCAGCCAGCTAGCTGCGGCTTATCAGAAATATTATCCTGTACATTTACAGTATTAGAGAGTGAGAGGAAACTGTCAGTACTGCAAACTTGACTACTTATGGAAGAAATGGGAGGAGAGTAGACAGCAGGAAGGAATGTGAGGAATGGATATCAGGACATTAGTTATACTGTGCTTTAAGGGAATCTGATTCCTGTGTCTGTCAAACAGTTTGAATCATGCTGTAAACATTAATTTGTACTGTAGCGCAAGGATAGAGGATGGCACGCTGAACTGGGCGATCTCTCTTTAAATCGTAATAAGATGGATTAAATTAATTGCCCTAATGAAAGTGATATTGAATCTTAAATATTGTGATTATATTCTTTTGATTACAGTAAAATAATCTATGAACTAAAGAAACCCTGAAAATGATTTCCATGTAGATGCTTTAGTTACAGGTGCTGGCTCACAGTCACAGGAGGATGCTTGAATTAAACGGGGTGATTGCTCATGTTAATCGTAACACTCCACTTGCACTTGCTGTAGTGTGACCAATCAAAGTTTTCTGCTGTGATAAAGAGTCGAGGGTATCAGTCAGTCAAGCAGATAAACTGAAGTCTGTCATCTGGCTGCTCTAACAGCAACCTCTGTCAACTCTGATTTAGATTACTCATGTTACACTGGTTTGAAATGCTTATTTGCTCAGCAGTTATTACCCACAGAGGCCGAAGAGCAATCCCACTGAGTTGAACTTTTCCACGATGAAGCTGAAATTTGTCTCTGCTGTGGGAGTGAAGTTTGGTTAGGATGGTGTCATCAGGCCAAGATTTTAATTTGGGCAATACTTTGGTTTTAAAATAACATTCCCATCGACCTCAGCAGATATTAGCAAGCTGTTGATGTGTCGTGTTTCCCGAAGCTTTAGATTTTATTTGTATCAGTGGGGATGGGAAAAATTCTCAGTTATAAATTTCTCCTCTGCTTTTAGTTTATTAGTATTTCTTGACAAATATGTACCTGACCGATGTAATCAGCTGCTTCTCAACTAATGCTACACAAGTATTTTAATAAATATACACTTAAAGGGCGTTTTGGATCAATGAAAACTGAGCTTTTCAAAAGTGTTCAGACTTTTGAGAACTTTTGATTGGCCAAAAATATGTCCACAGTTACTGTTATATCTGTTATACATAGTGTTAAATATGCTCTGTAGTTTCTCAGAGTGCTCAAGCTTGTAGTGGATCTCCAGACACACGTCTTTGCAGAGGCAGGTGATCAATGTCAAAGACACTGACAATGAGATGCTTCCCCAGCTGAGAATCTGAGGAAGAGCTTCAAAATGAGTCACGAGCAAACTGATTAAATTAATGTCACATGGGTGGCTCCAGTGGGAAAGAAAACACTGGGTGTTTTCTCCTCACGCTTAGGTGTAGGCTTGTGGTCTTTTGTTATAAGCTGGTTTAACCTGCTGCAGCTTTTTAATTTGGTCGTTAGAGACTGATGAGTTGATTATAAAGCTCGGAGGACAATTTAGTAAAAAGGATTATTCAAATCCTGTAATACTGCATGTTAGTGGAAGTGATTTCAGCTTGTTTATCTACAACTGTCAG